TAGATAGAAAATCTAGACAATTTAGCCCTTATCACCTAAAATAAAGTTATCATGTTCATGAGTTAGACCAAGCCAAATTTGATTTTCATCTTTAAATGTCATTCATTAGCTAAACTTGTCCATTAGATCAAATTATTTTAATAATACTATTTGTAATATTAAAAAATATTTGCATATTAATTCTTTGACATTTTAAATATATATTTAAATTAATAAAAAATATTTTTTATTAATTAAATAATATTTCAAATAGGACCAAATCAAATCAAACTCAAATTTAAAAATTTGTCCAAAATCTAATCCAAGCTAGGCCTGTGGGCTAACAGACTTCTAGGCCCATGGACAAATGTAATGTCAAGTAATTTAACATAAAAGGAACCACAAAGCATAGTTTAATTTCTTAAACTTGTTAAATCAAATGAAATAGTACAAAATTCTCTCTAGTTCTACTTCTCATCCATATCGCATACAAGCCACTAAAATGAAAATGAAAAAGGAACATCTCTAATTAATTCAAACAAGTTTCATTCTTGGTTTTATACGTAATGGAAAAGGTCGTTTAGCTAGTTCTCTAATTTTTTGGTCACTCCAATTCTCATGAGGGCCAAAAACAGCAATCAGACGGTAGTATATAAGCATTATAGCCAGGGCAACAGGAGAAGGACTTACTCATCAAGGCCTACATGTTTTATAGATAGAAAATCTCCAACCAAGCAAACTTTTCCAGGATGACCACAAGGGTAAGTTTCATTTGGCTTGTATTGAGACCCCAAGAAGAGTTTGTATGTGTAATGGCTAATGGAAATGCATTTGATCCATGATATGAAAGGAGGTACATGTTGAATCAGAATGGCTGCTGATTTTTGGTCCATTACCAAGGCACCAAGGGCTAGTCCTAGGCCTTGAGAGATAAGGACACTGAAAAGAAGTGCAAATAAGTTGTGCAGGAAATTTCCTGCTGTGGGTTCAGTCCTGCCATCCTATATGTAATTGTAATAGAAGGAGTAAGGAGATAAAAAATGGCTCTTGACATGAAGTATAAGGAAAGCCTGTACATGCCAGAAGACGGTTCTTTTCGAGCATCATACGTTCCTGGGGGAAGGTGAAAATTGCCTGGAATAGAGGGAACAAGCCCAAAAATCCCAAAGAAAAGAACGAGTCCAATCTGCATGTTTCAAATTAACAAGATCAAAGCCATCCAATTCTTATTATCAATTCATTCACATAAACTTTCTGATTTCAATGTCGCTTATATAGTTTGCGTAATCATTTAAAGGAAATCAAGCTGAATTTTAATGGATCCAAAGTGATTGGGACCTGGTCCTGCAAGTAAGCAATATCAGATTGCCACCATAATAATCCTAAGAGGGCAGCTGCCTCCAGGACCTCATCAGCAATGTTGAATTCAGAGAATGATTAATGTTTCCTTTCCTTTACTCCCTTTTGAAGTAATATAATGAACTGTTGCCATCAAGTTGTAGCCCATCTTGCAAACTTCTTGTTTTCCAATTGATCAGGAGGGTGATTGCTGACTTCCCGAAGCTCATCCTTTAGTTTCTAAGCAATGTTGCTCTTGTGGGCAGAAATTAGTGTTTTCTTCACCAGGGTTTTCTCCTTTAGTGACTCATTTGATGGAACATCGACATTGTGAAAAAAAAAAATAAATTAAAGCAATGATAATGAATTGCAAAAGAAAATTCAATTTGCTGATCTTTACTTAAAGTAATTAATAAGCTTATTCATAGCCAACAACTGTGATCTATTGGTGGAATGATGCATTCTTTTATGTCCAGTGATCAATTCAATCTCTAACAACTTCAAGAATAAAAAAAAATTGGCTTACTCATCTAACTAGTGCTCATCAAAGTTGCTTATTAATTGAAATTGAGTGCTTATGTATATTTGAGTAAGAATTGAAAGGAAGGAGCTGCATCTTTTTTTTTTTAAATTCTACAAATTTGTCTGATATTATTTGTGAGATTTTTATTTTTTTTATTTTTTTTATTTTTTATGTATCATCATTCCATAATTTCATAATTATGAGGATTTACTCTCTATGAATAGATATATTAGTGAGTTAATATCTTGCATGGATTGAAGCAACTTAGAAGATAGTAAATCTTAAATCTGATAAGGAACTGACATAAACAGCCATTGGGATTAGATAGCAGAATCTGTGTTGCTGATATATCAAAAAAGGTGTCAGAGTCAATAAGGAAAAGCATTATATGGAGTTTTTATATGGACTGGCATGGAAAGTTTTTATGTTGTTCCAGAGGTCATGGGGAATATTGTTCATTACAATTTGAAAAGATACAAGAACATGACCATATATGTAATAAAGAACATTAAATGTAAAACCCTAGTCTCAAATTGAGATATTTTAAGAATTTGTTATGATATATTTGTAAAGATTTGTCGGCTTGTTAGGTATTGTTTGTTTTGATCAGAAAATCTCATAATTTTATTCCACAAAAAATACTTCATAAATATAAATTTAAATCTCAACTTATATATATCTTCAAAATATCGTGATATGAGATTGGGGTGTTATAGTAAGTTAGAGTTACGTGTTGTCCATTTAAATCTAGCAATTATTGTTTATAAATTTATATTTGTCATTTTTTTATATAATGAAACTAATTGTAGATAGGAATTTGCAGCCTGTGAATCAATTTTCAAAGCTCCAAAACCATGCAACTGAGTACAGCCTTGGAAGTAGCAGCCATATCAGTGGTTAAGAAACTTTTATAGTTAGAATTTAAGCAAGTAATGTTCCAGGTCAATTGATGCCTTAAAGAAATTATATGAACTCTGTTGTGTTCTGTAACTTGACAACTGCTTCTTGATCATCATCTGGATTTTGTTCTATAACCAGATAACTGACTTTGTCACAGGACATTCTGCAACACCAAGGATTACTCTTGTTTATCCAGGGCAATATAATTTTCTGCAAGATTTTGGACAAAGTAATAAGGTAAGTGAATTTGCTTCTTGATTCCCAAAAAAAAAAAAAAAAAATTGAATCCTGGTCTCCTTTTTTTTATAATACGATCAGAGTCCTCATAGGCTTTCCTTGGATTTAATTTTTTTCGGATGATTTTAACGGCACACTCGCTGATATCATCTTGGTACATTCAGAATTTTACTCTGCAGTGAATCCTGATTACTTGAATATGCTACTGATAAGCAACAATTTAGCTCAAAAACAAAAGCAAAAGCAGAAAAAAAAAAAAAAAAAAAAAACCAGCAACAGCAGCTGTAATTTAACTTAAAGACTGTTCCAATTTTGAAAGGAAGGGTTCTAATGTACGTGGATAATTTATAAGGAGCATGATGGACAACTATGAATGGACTCCATAGTGTTCTGCTAAATGATAAAAGGGTTTTCTCTATGATCGCAAATAGGGTTCTACACGATTCCCCAACAGCAAAAATACATTGATTTAGAAATTAGAACAAAAGCTAAAGCAATTGCAAAGCTACTCATCTTATTTCAAAGTGAAATATTTTTTACACTTTTACACAATTAATGATTAATTGTGTTATAACTTAATATATTGATTTTTTTATAATTAAAATGATCAGTTATTAAATTTTAATTATTAAAATTAAAATTTTAACATTATAACAATACACAAGCATTTAATATATATATTTTTATTAAATTTATATATAATTTTTATTAAAATTTTTAAAATCATATTATGTTTTTATTTTTTTATATCATTTTCATATAATATCTTCGTATCGTATTTAAAATTATTGTATTTATTTGTATATTATTATTGAGGTAATGCAATTTTTTTTATTTGAAAAAAAAATCAAACTCTACTTTTCGAGTAAAGAATTATGAAAAATTATTTGAATCAAAACACGTGAGTGTTGTTTACTCTGTAGGAGTAAATGTAGCAATTGTATAGTGAATTCCATATCCCACCAAATCTCACATATGGGTGGATGTGTTTACCTTTTTGTTTTTACGACGATGCCTATGAAAATGAAATGTCATCACATTAATTGTCTGAAAAACACAAGTTTAACATGTTTTTAACTGTATCTTGTCTGTGACGTCATAGATTAAAAATTCATTACATTTCCTAAATTTACATTTTCCTCCGTCACAAGTTTTTAAAAAATACTTCATAAAAGGATAAATGTGTTGAAATTCTGTTTAAGCTTGATAGTTTTAGATATAATATGATGATATGATATAAAAATAATATAAAAATATATGACAATAACAAAATATAAATTTGACAAAATCAATATATTATTTTGATAAAAAATTATATTTCGTATTTAATATATCAATATAAATTATAATATTAAAATTTTTATATTTTATATGACACAGATATAATATGGATACATAAATTATAAAATTTAAAATTATTTTTAGTAATAGTCCCTTTTTTATAAGTCTTCACCTATCTTTTTATCATCTAATTTGATCAAGACCTCAGTTCCTACCCCCATAAAATAAAAAACAGCATAAGATAATTGGGTTTTTTCAATTGTACAAAGTTAGTGCAGTTCCAAATTAAAAAAGTAAAAAATGGAGCTGTCTACCATCATGAATTTATTGTTAACAACTTGTGCATGCAGGGACCAGGCCCGGTTGTCTATCAATAATTGGAATTTTTTTTATTCAAGCTTTTTGTTGTTATTGATCTTTATTACCATTCCTAACTTTGCTAGATTGTGCATTTTTTTTTTTTGCCTCACTAAGATGCCTTTTAATACCAACATTCAGCTCTCCTTCTTGTTTTTCTTTGTTGTAAATCTACTTTTTTCTTCAAGTTCTAATGCTCAAGATTTTGACAATGAAATCGAAGATGTCATAAGATTCCATTTCCCATGTAATTTTCTCTTTGGCACAGCTGTATCTTCATATCAGGCATGCAAGCTTTTCTTTCTTTGTTGAAATAATAGTTTGTTACTCTGTTGATTCCTTTGTTTTTCACATCTGGTTTTCATTTTATAGGTTGAAGGAGGATATCTTGATGATGGTAAAAGCCTCAGCAACTGGGATTTTTTCAGTCATATCCCAGGTAAACAGGCAATGCTGATTGCAGCAGAGCATATTAATATTTTATTTCCTAGTCAAACTTATTGTATCAATTAACTTTTTCAGGAAACATTAAAAATAATGATAATGGAGATGTTGCAGATGATGATTACCATCTGTTCTTGGTATTTTGCTTCTTTTAAGTTCATTTTTTTTCTTGCTCTCAACCTATAGAAATAAGAAGATAAAAGTATGAATGTTGCTTTGTTTGTGTATGATATACCAGGAAGATATTGTGATTGCTCATTCTCTTGGTGTAAAAGCATATCGGTTTTCGATTTCATGGGCCAGAATTCTACCAAGTATGTCTTTGAAAGCCAGAATTTTACTTGATTGTAGGTAGATTATAACACTTTTGAGATCCTTCAATGCTGGAACAGGAGGTAGGTTTGGTGAAGTCAATCCAAGTGGGATCAAGTTCTATAACAAAATTATAGACAGCCTCTTGCTCAAGGGTAAGAGGTTCACAAACTTGGGGAAGAAAAATTTTGCTGGAAAATTGTTTCTTGAAAATGATATAATTGACTAAACAAATGCCTGAAAGCAGGAATTGAACCATTTGTGACAATACACCACTTTGATCACCCACAAGAACTGGAAGATAGATATGGGTCTTGGCTCAGTCCTCTGATGCAGTAATTTCTTTATCTCTTTTGTGGTTTTACCGAAGCAGTATGTTGTTAAGTTGCCTAATTTCAGTGCCCTTCTAGGGAGGATTTTGTTCTTTTGGCTGAAACTTGTTTTAAGAGCTTTGGTGATAGAGTCAAGTACTGGACAACTATCAACGAGGTAAATCAGTTTGCAGAAATGGCCTATGTTAGGGGAGTTTTTCCACCAGCTCATTGTTCCGCCCCTTTCGGAAATTGTTCTGTTGGCAATTCTGATGTAGAGCCTTTTATCGTTGTGCACAACATGTTATTGTCACATGCCAAGGCCGTTAACCTATACCGAGAACAATTTCAGGTTACACAATGAGATTCTTAAAATATTTTCTAGCTTGAACTTTGCTTGATGATATTTTTCTTACCCAAATTTGATGCTGCTGTAGCAAAAACAAGGTGGCTCTATAGGGTTAATTGCACATTCACATATGTATGAACCACTAAGAGATGGAGAATCTGATCGTCTAGCTGTAAATAGGGCTCTGGCTTTTACACTTGGCTGGTAAGTGATCTCAATCAAAGCACCAAACTGCTTTTGTTTTCTTTCTTTTAAAATTTATTAACACTAGAAGGAAAACCTATAGGAGGTAGCATTAAGGAGGTTATCCCAGCACCTGCAATCGCTTCTCTCTATCCCCAGGCTACGGCTTCCTTTGATAATTGCATTATATTTTGTTTCCGCTGAATTTACTGAATATTTAAGCAGCAAAGACATGCTCAATGACAGAACTTGAGATTGGTTTGGATCTTATTTGATGATGGACTGGATAAAACTATACAAGTTAGATGCTCTTTCCTTTTCAAGGACCACTTGATCCGCAACATTGCTTTGTCATACCTTTCAGCATCTCTGTCAAGCCTTTCAAAAAATTCGAAGTAACAACCAATTGAGTCACAATGATTATAACACTCTTCTGAAACACGGCCCAAAATTAATGTCATTATTAATTGTTGACAGGGCTGATGGAATATAACATACACAATCTTTGTGAACCAAAGCAAACCAGTCCAATCCCATTGACTTGAAGGACACGTTATTTTTATACAGGAGGCCGTAGTCTAGGAATAAATGAAGGAATTGCAGGTGTTGGGATTAGAACTCCGAACCTATTAAATGCCACCTCTTAAGGGTGGTTGTATAAACTAAGTTAAGCTCCGGTTTAACTTTAAATACACATTTGCTATATGTAATTACTAAAATAACAAATCTTGAATCCTTTTGAGAGTACAAGAGTCACATGCAAATGAAGATATGTAAAAGAAAAAGATTAAAAAGTTGTGACCTCCCCATCTGATCAGTCCCTCTCGGCACGCTTTTGCTTTTCCTTTTAGATTTTGAATATCTTTGTCATTTTTCACAACCTTTGTTGAATGCTCAAACAAGGTGCATTCAGCCTTCTCTTGGTTAATGACAACGGTAACCGAAGCAATTACCTTGTCCTATGATCTCAAGGGACAAAGATGCTATCAAGAACTGTTTTAAGTTGCATATGTTTTTTTACCTCTAAGCAGCAACATTACAGTAAAGATATGCTCCTCACATAGCATGAACAAGTTACCATAATGCAGGGCAATAGATCCTTTAGTGTTTGGAGATTACCCTCCAGAAATGCGTCAATACCACGTGAGTGAACTGCCAAGGTTTTCCCCAGAAGAAACTCAGCTTGTGAAAGGCAGTATTGATTTTATTGGCCTCAATCATTATTCAACATCATATGCCAAGGACTGCATCCATTCCCCTTGCATCCCAGGTGGAGATCATTTCATCAGAGGGTTTGCATACACAACTGGAGAAAGAGATGGCATTCTAATTGGAGAACCAGTAATTCCTTCTCTTGCTGTTGCTCTTGTTTCCACTTTTATCAGTTTATAATTACAAATTCACTTTGCTGTTTTTTGGCAGACTGGTGTTGAAAGATTTTATGTTGTTCCAAGGGGCATTGAGAAGATTGTTGATTATGTTTCAAAAAGATACAATAACATGCCCATATATGTAACAGAAAATGGTAACTTGCGGAGCTTTACGTTTGTCCCTTTATATAAATTTATGTTATTTTTTTTTATCTGTGAGTCCATTTTTCAAGCTTCAAATCCATGCAACTGAGTGCAGCCTTGGTAGCACTAGGCATATCAGTCATGTAGAAACTAATAGCTAGAATTTGAACCAGTAAAAGTAATGTTGCAGGTCCAATGCTGCCTAAATAAATTTATATGGATTCTGTTCCGTAACTTGACAACTGCTTGTTGATCATCATTTGGATTCTGTTCTATAATCCGAAAACTTACTCTCACAGGATATTCTCCACCACGTACTGAACAAGTGCCTGATTTGCTGCATGATGTCAACCGAATCAAGTTCCACGAGGGCTACCTTGCTGCTTTGGCCAGAGCAATTAGGTACTGAGTTTGTATTCTTTACCTAACGTATAGTTTGTTTTGCTTCTCTATTCTCGAACGAAAATTTTAATCCTGATTACTTGAGTAGCTATCTATAAGCAACAATTTTCTCCAACTCATAAGTGTAATGCCCCAATCCCACGATGAGATATTACAAGAATCTGATATATATAAAAACTTGAATCCCTGCTTGTGAAATCTGAACAAAACCGCAAAACTTTCAGGTCAAAATAAACATGGAACAATTCTACTTTGGTGCCGGTTTCCACAATTATGAGTTATGGGCCAGCCACGCTTCTGCACATTAGAACTTACCTAGCAGCTCTATTGACCTAGGACTGGGTTCTTATTTTGATAGGAATGGTGCTGATGTACGCGGATACTTTGTATGGAGCTTGATGGATAACTTTGAATGGACAGGAGGTTACAGCACAACATTTGGACTTTACTACATTGATCGTCAAACTCTGAAGAGGACTCCAAAGCTTTCTGCTAAATGGTATGAAGATTTTATTGCAAACAGAAGCAAAGGAAGCAACAGAGAAGGGTTCAAGAATGGAAAAGAGGGTTCTAAACGTTTTCCCAAAAGCAAAACTGTCATAACTTCCAGAGCTGAAGCTAAAGCCACAGAAAAGTGATGATGGTATCTACATTTCATCATCCCTATGTGTTGTAACGGTTTTGTGTCCGTATGACGAATTTGAAAACGAAATAAAAAATAACGGAATCGCCACCAGTTTTTTTTAGTTAGGTGCAATTGACCACCTATTAAAATATATCCTTTTAATGAAATCTTAAAATTAATTAAAATTTATCAAAAGGATAATTTTTAGGGTCTGCGTAACAGTCTGAGTTCGAGAGTCGATTATATGTGGGAAAGGATTAGCACACCCACAATGCCCATTTAAAACGGTACCAATTAATTATGTGTTATCTGTAGGTTTTGATAAAAATAGTTTTATTTTCAGTGTTTGAAAAATAATTTCCTTGGTTTCCTTTGTTTGTTGAAATTTTGATTTTTTTCTTTTATTATTGTTCTATATTTATTGTTCAAATTTTATTTGAGAAAAATAAATTAGAACTCTTTTATTAAAATAATTCTTAAAATGTTTCAGTATGTTGGTAACATTAGAAGAACTCTTTTTCACCTTAAGATTTCTTAGGCATCGCTTCTCAAAATACCTTAAAATCTCATCATCGGAGGTTTGAATTTACTTTTTGCAAGAATTTTATTATGCATGCAATGCAAAATGCTAATATATTGATGCATGTATTCTATTCTCTAATGTTGATTTTTTTTATTTGATTTCTTTTTTTATTTAAATTTTTGAAAAAAAAAAATTTTATTATATTGAAGTTTTTCTATAAATATTCTAATACATTGGTAATATTTAAAGAAATCTTTTCACCTAGGGATTTTGTAAAGCATCACTACTTAGAATACTTTTAGAATCCCATCATTGAAAAAATTTTCTTTTTCTACATTTATATTATTATTATTTTTAATTTATTAGTAAAAAAAAATTTTTATGGTATTGAAAATTTTTATATAAATACTTCAATATACTGTTAGTATTTTAAAAAATTTTTTTCACCTAGAGACTTCGTAGGTATCATTACTCAGAATACTTTTGAATCTTATTACTGGATAAAAATTTCCTTTTTTCTACATTTTTTTACTATTTTATAAGATTTATTCTAAAATTAACAAAATTATCAAAAAACTTTTATTATATATTTCATCATTTATTTCTGTTAATTATTATTATAAACAACAAAAAATTTATTCTAGTAAATTTGAACATTTTAATATGCATAAAAGTTAATAATAAAAATTTAAAATAACAAAAATAATATATAAAAAAATTAAAAAAATTAAAAAAATTTTTTTTTACCTGAACTAGACCGATCAGTGATTTGGTGAATGTCGGTCTAGTCCGATGGTTCGGAGCCAATCTAGTTTGGGGTTTAGCGGTTTGGGGATGGTCCGGTGTGATCTGGGTCGATTCAGCTAGACCGATCAGAGGCTGAGGGAGAAGCAGGTCACCGGGTCGAGTGTGCGGACCCCGAGTCAGATCTTGGGCTGACGCATGGATCCTTTACAATTCAAAACGACGTCATTTTGACAGTTACTAGAAACAATGTCGTTTCGAGGTTAGGTCTTTTATATAAAAGTCATAATTTTTTTTCAGCTCATTTTTCTTCCCTTCTAAAAAAAAAAAAAACTCTCCCATTTCCTTTTGCGGACAAAACCCAAGGGAGCCAGTCGGTCATTGTCACCACCGTCGTCGTCTCTCCCATTGGTCGTCGACTACCAAAAAATTTTTAAAATTCACCCAATACTCCTGCCAATCTCTAGAGTCCAAATTTGAGCCTGGTTTTGCAAAAATAGGCTCCAAATGGCATAGATCCAGCCTGAAAGGTTCGGTCAAATTTATTTTTATCTGTATTATTATTTTTTGTTTGGCATTGTGGTCATGTTTCCAGAGGCTGAGTTTTTTTTTTTTGTTGGATTTGTGTTTGGCTTGCTTGATCTTGGGTTTCTATTTGACCAATTTTTTTAAAAATCTGGTAGAACCTTAATTTTTTTTGCAGGGATTCTAGGTTTTTTTTTTAAAATCAATGGCTTTCTTTTTGTGCAGGCAATGAGCTATATTTATAGAGCTTTTGGGATTTAAATCTCAGATTTTCAACAAGCTTGGACTTTTGATGGTCAAAATTCATGTTGCTAAGTTAGGCAGAGCGTCAGACGGCTGTTGATGGTGGTAGTGGCTGGGATTTTAGACTTTCGGGGAGTGTGCATTTAATGCATTCATATTTTAGTCAAACCGATCATAACAGAAAAGAAGAAGAAGAAGAAAAAAAAAGAAAAAATATAATAATAATAATAATAAAAAAATAAATATAAAATGGTGTTTACAACTGCCCCTCTTTGCCTATTTTTAAGAATCAAGAATAAGACAAAGACAAACAAACAACTATTTTGTTTGGAAAGAAGAAACATTGAGCACAAAATCTTTTTTTTTTTTAAAGAGGTCCTTTAAACAGAGGTTCAACGACATTTTTGAAAATTTAAAAAACTCCTATGAGTAAAGGCTCCACAACTTTTAAAAATTTAAAAATGCTTCTCTAGGCAGAGGCTTACAACTTTTGAAAATTTAAAAAGGTTCCTCTAAACAGAGGCTCAATGACTTTTGAAAATTTAAAGAAGCTTCTCTAAGCAGAGGCTTAACGACTTTTAAAAATTTAAAGAGAATCCTTTAAGCAGATGCTTAACAACTTTTAAAAATTTAAAGAGGCTCCTCTAAGTAGAGGCTCAACAACTTTTAAAAATTTAAAAAGGCTCCTCTAAGTAGAGGCTTAACGACTTTAAAAATCTCATCTTGGAAAAGCTCATCTAAGTAGAGGCTCAAAGACTTTAAAAATCTCATCTTGAAAAAGCTCATCTAAGTAAAGGCTCAACAACTTTAAAACTTTCTCTTGAAAGAGGCTCCTCTAAGTAGAGACTCTACAACTTTAAAAATTTTATCTTGAAAAAGCTCATCTTGAAAAAGCTCATCTAAGTAGAGGCTCAACAACTTTAAAACTTTCTCTTGAAAGAGGCTCCTCTAAGTAGAGACTCTACAACTTTAAAAATTTTATCTTGAAAAAGCTCATCTAAGTAGAGGCTCAATGACTTTAAAAATCTCATTTTGAAAAAGCTTTTTTAAGTAGAGGCTCAACAACTTTAAAATTTATCTTGAAAAAGCTCCTCTAAGTAGAGGTTCAACAACTTTAAAAATTTCATCTTTTCTCGAAATGGAGTTCTCATCTTTGAATAAGTAAATTTTTCTCTTTTGAAATCTTTTGTTTGATTATTATCTTCGTTCGAATATCAAAATCTTATTTTTAATTAAGAAATAGAAAGTCTCTATCCTTATTATAACTGCTCATGGATGCATGTACTGAGTGCTCTAAATACAATGCATGTAATGCAATCAAAATTATTCATTATAGTAAAAGGGTTCTCGAAATCTCTCACTTTTTTGCTTTTTTTTATCTGAATTCTCAACAATTACCATATGACCAATCTATTCTTAACATTTGACCATTGTATTCTTCCTTAACAATATTTTTCTTCTTCAAAAGTCTGCAACATCAATGTCTTGTCATGCTTTTTCATCCTTTTTCATCTACATTTGTCAACTTTTAAAAAGTAATACTGAGATCTTTTGTGTTTATTTTTCTTTTCATCATTTTAAGTTCAAGACAAACAAAATGTAATCACACATTTCTCCTACTTAATTATAAGGTGAACAAAAATATCAAATCAGAATAAAAGAATGAATAGGCGTTATTTTCAAAAGAAAGATAGCATATTTCATTATATTGATAATAAGTGCATAGATAGGAACAAAGGTACCTAAATAATGATTACTAGATAATCATGAACAAAATATTCCTCAAATTCTCTTTTTAAAACTAAATCAGATGACTTTTTTGATTCTTCATAATTTGTCAAACTACACTTGCCCTTATGTTATGGGATCTTCTCTTGATGATGCTTCTCATTTGCATCCAAACCACTTTTTTAGGTTTTCAGCTTAGATATGTCATTCTTTTTCACTTTTTGTTTTTATTCTTTTTGTTTTTTTAATTTTTTTTTAAAGTAAAAATATTTCTTTATAGTATTTGAATTTATCAGAGTGGGTAAATCACCTCCATCTATCTCTGTCAAAATCAATGCCCCACTAAAAAAGGCTTTTTTCACCACATACGGGCCCTTCTAATTTGGTGTCTATTTTTTTATTGTCATGTTGATTTGGAAAGATCATTTTCAGCTCTAAGTCTCTTTTCCTAAAACGACGGGGATGGATTTTTTTATCATGTGCTCTCATTATCCTCTTTTGATATAATTGACCATGACAAAGTATTGTAAGTCTTTTCTCTTCAATGAGGTTCAATTGTTCATAATGATTCTGAACCCATTCTACTTCCTCTAACTCTACCTTTATCAGGACTTTTAGTGAGGAATTTTCACTTCGACCGATAGCATAACTTCCATTCCATATATCAAAGAGAATGGGGTGGCCTTAGTAGATGTTTGGACTGATATTCTATAAGCATGCAAAGCAAAAGGCAACTTCTCATACCAATCTTTATAAGTAACAGTCATTTTTTCAAGATTCTTTTGATATTTTTGTTTGTAGCCTCCACTGCCCTATTCATCTTTGCACGATATGGTGTCGAATTACAATGATGGATCCTAAATTAGGTGCACACTTTATTCATCATTTTGCTATTTAAGTTTTTGGCATTATCAGAAATAATTGTTTTTGAAAGCCTATATCTATATATTATTTATTTTTTTATGAACTTGCATACCACGAATCGGGTTACACTACCATATGATATAGTTTTTACCCACTTTATAAAGTAATCAATCTTCACAAAGATGAATCTATGTCCATTCGAAGCTTTTGGAGTGATGAGACTGATGACATCTATGCCCTACATAAAGAAGGCCACGAAGGAGCCAAAACGTGTAATGCTATTGAAAAAGCATAGATCTTGTTAGATATGGATCTTGTTAGATATGGATCTTGTTAGATATGGATCTTGTCAGCATAGATCTAACACTTATGATATCTTTTAGCATAACTAATACAATCACTTTTTATTATCAACAAATAGTAACCGGCTCTCATAATTTGC